CAATTATGTACGTTCTATAAATCTAACCTTGCACACATAATCTGCACTGATGTGTTTTTTTGTGTTTTTTTCAAAAAACGATGTTGCCTTTCAGTTAACTCTCCGCATTCATGGTATTTGTGAGTTAAAACATATTTGCGTTATTAGAAAAGCAGTACACTAAGTAAACAATGTTGAAATTTTCAAAGCCATACAAGTTGCATACAAGTTGTGTTATTACAGAACCGCCGGATATACCGCCGGTAATAACAATTTTACTAGATGGATGCATGAAAGAAAAAAGTTGCTAAGGTAACGCGCCAGTTCAGTGCATGGCTTGGGGTCAAACTTCGGTCAACACACACTTGATGTCAGCATCGCCGTGTAGCAAGTTTCGCAAAGTACCTGAAGTTCAATTGCACCCGAAAATGATGTCGACGATTACTCAATTGTCGCAGCGCATGTTGTACCAAGTCCAGGATACACCCAGTTTTGACTCCGGCTTGCTTTTCCTTAGTACATGCTCTTGTTCAGGTAAAATGCGACCTCTCACTAATGTATAATTAGGGATTATATTTGGTCATTTTAGCATGGCACTGAATAATTTTACCCTGGCGGCGCAATATTTAGCCTGGTGGCGTATGATTTTACCATGGCGGCCCGCCCTACCAAATCAACGCGTGGAAAACACTGATGAAAAAAAACAATTAGTATTAGTTTTATTTTCATGTCTACTGTTTATGTTTTTGGCAAATATACCCCAAATTAGAACTAGTAATTCTGTTATATATATTTGACGAATCAATGAATTGGATATCTACAGTACACTGCAAATGAACAATTTAGATGAATTACTAGAGATGTGTTCAGTCAGAAGAAAGCAGTAATATGTACATCTCTAATGCAAGATACAGACCTGGAATACAAAAACGATCAACTTTTCCAGTTTATACAACCATACGTATACAATATAATACCGTGCTCGTTAAATGACAAATGAAGAGCTGTGGTTCATAGTCATAGTCCCTTGTTTGCCGGTTGTCATTTCTATTTGGTGTACACTACCCGAGTACACTACCGGCCCCCTTACAACTACGATACGATCAAGAAACCATCAGATAAGAAAATGAAATTTAAAATCAGTAAAACCGAGGCTATGTGTCTAAACTGACACACATGGCATGTAAATTAATGCATATACATGTATTCTCACCTCAAAAACCATTAATTCTCCCAGTCTACTTCTGCTATATACGGTCTGAACTGTTCCTTTCAATAAATAATGTCAATCGCCGTTACTATTAGCGACGTGTGATGACTAATAATTCCATAGTAACTGAATGATCCTATCTCGATTTAGACACCAGAGTGCGAATATCACAGAAAGCATGGGTTCACCTGCAAAAAACACTCGATAGCGATGTGAGACCTCAAGCGTTGTATAACGAATTGACCACGTAACCGCGGCGGTATTTTCAAAGTATAAAAGTACCGAAGTTCGCTGATGTCGACTTGAATTGAACGAATACCCTTCTCAGACATTGATAAATTGAAATATTTCTGACATTATTATCAAACTATATGAATATATTCAAGAAACACAAGGTGAATCAAAACACAACAGGAAGTAACGATTTATCTAACACTAAGATAAGAGGCCTTCTTCAGTTTACCGATTGCATGTTGTTGATTCGTGCATTTACTGACAATTGATTACAGCATAAGGCTACCCTTTTCTTTTTTAAATGCCCTGCTTCAAAAATGTAAACAGCAGGTTATCAGCAGATTGAGTTGTTCATTTACAGATTATGTAGTTTATTCGCATTCCTATTCAAGACGAATCCGCTATGTGCAAATGTTACGTACTCGTATGCGAAAGTGGTACGAATTGAGATTCGAAGCCCCGTTTGCATTTTGAATCTGAGGCCAACTTCAAATTCTACAAGTTCAAACAACTACGTGTTTTAGCTATACAAGTAGTTGTTTTGAGAACAATATTTCAATGAAAAAATATTTAACACGTCTCACAGTTTAACTTTATACGTAAACAACAATTGTGTGTTTACAACTTTTGAAATAAGGGGTGCAACATTAAAAACTCTGGGCGATGGCAGAAAAACATGCAAAATATTTGTTTTTATTCACTTGGTTTAAGATTTTTTTCCAATGATGAATTCGCTTTAATTTGTGTGCGTAATATTCTTTGCCTAAGAAATGGGCGTGTTGTTGATTCCTGCAGGATTTTTTTTTCCATGATTTGTTTTCAATTCTGCCATCATGATTTATAATGGTCCACCCCTCAGACTTATTCAATTCTTCCCTAGTCAAAGCTGTCACATTCCGGCGAGTTTAGTTCAAATTTACCCAAAACTCAAACGTAATTAAATGACAATAAAATGCGAGCACAACTACAGCAGGCACGAACTGAACTAATCAAGAAAACTGGAAAAGATTGAATTATCGTGCACACCGAAAATTGTTGACGACGACGTCAGACAGACAAGGTAAGCCTTCATTATTATTACACGCAAAGCAAAATTTGCTAAAATGGCCAACAAGCGTCGAGTTGATGAGCCCTTTTTGGTCAACCTTAATGTTTGAACTTTTTTTACCACTACTTCACCAAAACATATGACCCCCCCCCCCCATATATATATGCAAATTGGAAATGCGAGTGAATCCTACCTTGGGCCGCATTCACGGTCTATCATTGATCAGATAATTATTCACTGAAATATCAACGGTTAAATCATGGAGGTGAAAAAAAACACATCATTCTATGGTTTTAACCTCCATGGTTAAATATTGATGAGAACATTTGTAATACTGTTATTCAATACTCAATACTGTAGACTAAATCGGATTATGCTTTATCATAAACTAAAATGTTGTATTTGCAGAAAACACAACAGTATCATTTATACATGCATGTTCATTGATTAATAATGTACTACCAAGTGGTGCATACAATGTACGAATACATTATGTACCGAAAACGTCATTTTTTTAATAAAAAGCGCCCTCGACGTCGATATCTGGCAGTTTTCACCTTGCGGCGGACACTTCCACGCAGAATCCCGGTTAGTACACTCTACCGCAACCCCCACCCCCTCAACCGGCCCCCGGCATGAAGTATAAGCAAGGAATACCGTATTTATTACATTAGAAGCACTTCATTTGAAATACTTCATATTTTGACCACATACTTGCTCTGTATTTATATTCAAACTCGTAAGCTTCTAATAAAGCAAATTAAAAACGACTTAAAAAACATAACTTCAATCAGTTATCCTGTCGGTTGTTGTCCAATGCATTCATTATAGCGTCGATTGCATGAGTCTATCTCAAATAATTTTCTAAGTATTAAACTTATACATATTAATGAGACCACTCGTCCAAATAAGTTCAAATAAAATGCCTGCCACCTCTTTCGTCCAATGCTTTCATTACAGCACTGGTTGTATTCCCTATCTTAAACAGTACTACATGTATATATATTACAGTTAGACACATTAATGAGGTCACATGATTAAACATATGCAAATCGTGTATTTAATATTAATGAATTGTAACCCTAAAATAATTAGGTATGTGAATTGTTCAAGGGCAGGAGCATATATGTAGTAATGTACTATGTTTCATTTAAATTTGATGGGTGGTACTGGAGATATCTTGGGAGCACATGTAAACTAACTAATTATAAAAATTAAGTAATTAGTATTCACACACATTATCCATATACGCATTGACACCTGATTAGTTTTTGTTGAGATATTAGTGAACAAGGCTGAAAATGTAATTATGCATTGGGTAATTAGTATATACGGATTAGATTTTGTCTGGGTCATATACAATATAATACTATCATATTAATTATTGCCTACAAACAAAATACTATTTAAATCCCCCAAACCACAGACTGAATTCATTCTGCGTACCATACAATACCGCCGTTTCAATGTTTCTATTAAACCCCCATTAAATTACATCCGTTGCTAGAGATTTACGATCATGGCTCTCTCAAAACGCTAAATATCCACTTTTATGATTAACTGTCAGAATTTGTTTTATACAATTTATTGTTAATACCATTGTTAAATATATAATTTATATTCTTAGAAAATGTTTACATTTTATTTTAATCATAAAAAATGTAAGTTTCAGCATGGTTGATTTTTGTTGACATGCAAAATCTTGCTAATTTCATTTTTGTTGCGAATGTCCCTTATACAAATATTTGAGAGAAAAATGTCTCCCCCTAACTAATACAAATACGCATGAAAAATAACATTCATTTCACTTCTAAATTCACATAATCCGTTTGTATTTCTGTCATTATCAAAGTATACATACTACGGTTTCAAATTAAGAGACAATATTATTTCCAATGTTGATTAAGATGACATGATCATTCCTTTGTTTTTGTGAACTTTTTTGTTGTATATAAGGCCAACGGCCGACAATACTGTAATAAAATATATAAATAAACTTACTATTGAAACTTAAATTTCTTTCTCGTGAATTGATAAGGTTTGGTCAAGGAATTGTTTACCTGTTTTGCAGAAACCTCATTTAGATTGAACCAAACAATTTCAAAAACCATTATGATTTATTGTTACCTTCAATCCAGGTCATCCGGTGTTCAGTGATACAAGCAGGTCATCCGGTGTTCAGTGATACAAGCAGAGGTAACATGCAAGCAAAGCCTGCGCATACAGCTGTCTTAGTTGTAAACATTATGATTATCGCATGGTTGTAACAACGCAGACATATCGTCTGCATGGATGCTTTTCAAGGTCACATAGAGCACGTACGAGTAAATACGTAATTGGGCAACATTATTCAATATTCCGCTATATATATTATGCTATATTTCGTAATATTTATCACGAATATGGACTTGTAGTAGAATATAGCCGAATCAGTAATTTCCCAACGCTTCGTCGTCACCACAATCTTTAAGAAATTAAAATGTGTGAATGACACCGGGAAAATAAATTATTATAACAATATCTACGTACAACATATTTCAGTCATCAGACGTATTATTGATAGTCGCAAGTGTCATGGCGACAGTGTGGTGCGCGACAACGTCACTGGGGCTGAATATAACCCTTATTAGGTTAATAATATATATTGCTAGAATTATTTTCTGAGAAAAAAAAAGACTCTTCATGGATGTGGAATTAATTTTCCCTAATCCGTGATAGAGAATTAAATTTCAATAAAATTGTTAACTGCAGCATTGCACTTTCAAAATATATTAGGAATACAATTTACAATCCATCAATAAATTAGCACATGTTTTCTTAGTTGTATTTCAGACAGTCATGAATTGTATTATTAATTATAATACTATATTTTGAACGGTTTGTAACTCATTTTACTTCTTTTCTTACGCTACTGTCTTTAAATTACCATATGATATCCTCTGATGTTATAGTCGTATGGTAACATTATCATAAAGCTTTCGGAGTACAGACCCGAAACAGTATTTTTGTTTTTGCATAAACTTTTTAAACTTTGACTTTTGTTAATATTTATTAATGCGGAAAGTTTACGTCATTTCCGGACACGAGAATTGACCAATGGCTATTTACTGACGAAATTGACATAATCTTTTCATAGTTATAAACTGGTGGGTCACAACATGTTACGACAACATTCACTACTGTTTACCAACAAGCCAAGTATCCACAAACGTTCAGTTATCAAAGACGGTGGCATGTACATCACTGGATTCGAGGTATGTGAAACGTACGTTTTTACTAGAATCAGTAATCTGTAATATCAAATTTCTAATTTGAACTTGTAAAAAGTTTACCTTGAACTTGGTAAAAGATTACCTTGAACTTGGTAAAAAATTAAATAATAAAAATGTAGTTGGCAAACGTTAATTGTTTTGCTTAAAATGCGTATGGCGAGATCCTGAAATGTTTTTTTCGAAGTGCTTATGTTGAGGACTAGTCATTCCTGGATATTTTACTTTCACGTGTACATTGACACTACCTGAACATTAGTTTTGTTTCTGTTATTGTTAAAAGTTGTCAGAAGGTTGGTGGGAATTCACAAACTACTTATTTTAAAGAAGTTAAGTTATTACATAAACATAATCACGCCGATTAGCTAAACCTTATAAAGACTGGGCACATAGCAACCGCCATTCGGTCGATGACGTACAGGCAAGTTGATGCTCCTATTTTTAAGGACACTCCGTAGAGTCCATGCTTCTTTGTCAATGCTTGTTTTAACATATTACAGATTGGTGGGATTGAGTACAGAGTCTCGGAAGAACTCGGCTACCAAGTACCAAACTTGTCTGCACCGTGGTCTGCACGTTCTGTTACTGAACTCATCGTTATTTCAACCCACAGTCACCACGTACACGCAATGGAATATCCTACAACAGTAATATTTACTTGGAAAATAGTGATTTATGCGGGAATTTATATCATGGAAATCAATATGATAATGCCGTCAACTCAGGTTGAGATATTGCATTTGGTGCCACTGAGTTTGGTGAGTAGTTAATGGCGGTACGGGCATTTATGAAATGTTGCTGCTTCATACCTTGCTTACAAGTCTTATTGTCGACCCGGTGAACTACAACCCAGATATGTTTTATTCGTTTAAAATGACTAAGTTAGGGTGTTATAACAATCTATATTTGATTTTTGGGTTTCCTTTCAGTTCCCATAGTACCATGCTAATCGTTGGCAGGGATGGCAACATCGTGGTATACTAAACGGACGAAGTTAATGCACTTTTTCTTCTGAAGTTTTCTTTGTGGTTGAAGCTTAAAGTCCGAAGAATAATAAGATTAGAATACCGGGACATTTTTTGAACGCATGAATTACCTTATTATCTTAAATTTTTAAAATTCAGAATGGAGCTTCAGAATTATGATGTGACATATGGGGCAACACGAAATCACGGTCTCGGTTACTCCTCTAGTTAATCGCTTAGTGGTTTAGTGGTACAATATTTTGTTCAGCAAAAACAATAACAGCACGTGCATACTACTACATGTACTACTACTCCTCAATACAGTTACAATCTTTTAAAAATATTACAGTACTGAACTATAATATCCACACCTCTGTCATTGTGTTGTTGTTGTTGTTGTTGTTGTTGTTGTTGTTGTTGTTTGTCATGGTGTATTCGGTAAATAATAAACCAAATTAAATGTATTAATTGTTTGATTTTTTTATTAATGGTTTGCTGTATATTTTTATTTGACTTTTTATTGGGTCCCTTCAAAAACAATTCAGACAATAATGTTTACTAAATATCAAATTCTTATTCGGATATCTTGCGAATTCCTGGATATGCCATCAGAATGTGAAGCGCTATCTGAAAATGTCCCCTAATAAATTTAAAAAAAGATATAAGAACTAATGTAATAGATGATGTATTATTACTGACAGGAAATGGTATCAACAAATGTATGTTTATTACAAGAAAGCATATTTTGTGTAACAAATTTGGTTTCCAAACTAAACAATACGTTCTGTATCTACCGCTACATAACCTAACGATATATATAGAATCTCTATAAATCGTGGGGAGGTTTGGGTTACTTGCAAACACTGGAATCGTGTCCATCAAATGAATACCGTTTTTAGGATTTAAGTATCAATATAGATACTATTCTATTTTATTGAGGTATAGCGAGATCTCCATAGTATGCCTCAGTTTACTTCCTTTTCCCCAGGTACATGTACATCGTGTGCGTACTTAATGTAACGTATATGATTTTATATGTAAGACATTGTATTGTATTGTATTGTGGGCGGGTCTTACCTGAGCAGTATGAGCACCATGGTGACACACTGAAGTCATTCACACAGCGATTCACCAGGCTATTCTTGAGTGTTCTGAGAATAGCTGGATTCACTTTCGAGAACTCGGTGTCATCTATAAATCACTTCCCCCATGGAACATCGAAAAAAATAGGGACAGGACAGGGATACACACGCACGGTTTTACTCACACAGGCGGCGCTATCTTTTAGTTGCGTGGTGCGCCGACGTGCGGTGACTAATAACATAAAATGTCTGAAAGCGAGGCTGAGTATCATGCACACAGGGCGGCCATAGATCGGTCATTTGAGGTCAACTAAATGCTGTTTACATGCCGCCAGCCAGTAGTTGGTAAATCTAACATGCTTCTTGTGAATGGCGTCTATTCAAGATCTTGGTGCAACCTGTCTTGATCGGTTTGTTGTTTCGGAAGTAAGTCTCCTATAATTAATTTTCTTTCTCTTTTACTGTCAACACAACAAACCCATTCCCTTCGTTTTTTATAAATGTTTATAAATTACAATGGCAGATGAACCCAACCAGCCAGTCAACGAGCACAGTTCGCAATGACATCATTTAATTTTCAAGCATTTCAATGTTATTTCATCGGCAAATACATTAAAAGACAGGAAGCTGTAGCATAGTTTATAAACATAGTTATCACAATTTGTAAATATCGATCATCAGCTTTAATTCAAATTCCAATATTTAAAGCGCGGTGGTCGTCGCGCAGCGCGTGTTCGAATTTCATGTAAATAAACAATGTATTTTACACGCGTTGTATACATCGCTATGAGTCCCATATCAAACAGGGCGCGGCACGATGACTGCCGTCCTTTAGAGCGCGGTGGTCGTCGCGCAGCGCATGTTCGAATTTCATGTAAATAAACAATGTATTTTACACGCGTTGTATTTGTCGCTATGAGTCCCATATCGAACAGGACGCGGCACGATGACTGTCGCCCTTTAGAGCACGGTGGTCGTAGCGCAGCGCATGTTCGAATTTCATGTAAATAAACAATGTACTTTACACACGTTGTATACGTCGCTATGAGTCCCATATCGAACAGGTCGCGGCACGACGACTGCCACCCTTCAATGATTGGCATGATACCCTCACACTGTGTACGCCCATAATGAACGCACAAGCCTTCAAGTACGTGACATAGAAATTGCCCATTTATTCAAAATGAAGAGTTTGCTGATTGGTTTTTGAACTAACTCCTTAATATAAAATCTGTGATAATGTTGCCATATCTGGGTTAGTCAATTTAAATTCTACCACTCAGTTTGATTTATAAACATTTAGCTGTATGCCTCTCACTGTCAAACCTTTCATTTCAGTTTGAATTGTGAAATTCATACATAAATATATATAAAAAATGACAGAATGGGTTCTTTGTGTTTATAGT